CGCCTGTCGCATTTATCATCCAATTGAGATGAAATTTTCCAAACAATATTTGTTTGGCCCAAGGACGAACCATATTGAAATTGGTTAGAATCGGTTTAAATTTAAATATAGCTTCCATATATATCTTCAAACGATTTCGGGTTAATTGTGCGTCAAATGGCTAATATCAGCCTAAATCAAGTGAATTTTGGCAATTCCGACTGAATTCATTCTAGAAACAAGTACTTCAAATATGGTGAAAATCGGTACAGATATTGCTACAGCTTCCATATAAATGTTTTATACAACGAGGGGTTTTAAGTTTATCACATGCGTAATATGTACTACACAAGAATCATATTTGGTAACTTATGGAGCTCAAAAATAGCTTCGTCAAATTTTAACGAAGGGAGCAAATTTTTAAAGAACGGATCAGATTAGGATATACCTCCCATATATATATCTTTATCCGATTTCAGTTTTTTGTGCAATATCAGCCCCAATGGACTGAATTTTGGCACTTCCTAAAAGCAAGTGCTTCAAATTTTGTTGAAAATCGGTTCAGATATAGCTATAACTAAGTCCCGATCCTCTTAAAATTTAGCATGGAGTTAAGATTAGGGTCAGAATAGAAGCCTATTTGTAGACATGTTCGGAATATATTTAGGGGATTATATGTTAAACTGTGGCTTAAATAATCAAAACCAGTAAAGAAAGTCCTAAAGTCGGGCGGGGCCGATTTTATGATACCCTACACCACTTTGCTAATTTAGTTAAGCTCCACATAACAATTAAAAGTTATTATGGCAGAATTCAATCATTCAAAATTAATTTGAAATCAGATAAAGATATATATAGGAGCTATATCTAATTCTGAACCGATCTCGATAAAATTTGGCAAAGATATTTCTGAGCTGTATTTGATATATTCCCTGAATATCGTTGTTACAGAGTGCATATTACGGCTGTGAGTAAAAAATACAACAAATCGGATTAACAATATATATGGGAGCTATAGCTATATCTGATCCGATCTTCACCAAATTTGGCATACTACCTATTTGGCATAAACTCAATTCGGTCGTATATGCCAAATTCCATCCCATTTGGGCAAATATTAGACGTTTCGTGCACAATAAAGGTAAATCGGATGAAGTTATATATGGGACCTATATCCAAATCTGAACCGATCTCGTTAAAATTTAGCAAAGCTATTTCTGAGCTGTATTTGATATATTTCCCCAAATATCGTTGTTACAGAGTGCATATTACGGTTGCGGAAGACAGAAATAACAAATCGGATGAACAATATATATGGGAGCTATAGCTATATCTGAACCGATTTCGATCAAATTTGGCAACTTATTTTCAGGCCTAATTTGGTTGTATGTATAAAATTCCATACTACATGGACAGACGGACGGACGGACAGACGGACTGACATGCATTAATCAACTCAGAAAGTGATTCTATGCAGATCATCAAAACGAACTATGGGTCTATCTCGTTTCCTTTTGCCTGTTACAAACAAATGCACAAAAACATAATATCCTGACCACCTTGTGGTGTAGGGTATAAAAACGCATTGTCGATCGGTATAGTTACGTGGAAAACGTTTACAGCCAATTACAAACTACAAATATCGAATTTTAGACACATCCGTCAGAAAATATGGATTGAATAGTCTGAATACCGATTAACTGAAGGGACCTATGGTAAAACATGGACCTATATTCTACAATCGTAAGTAGAACCTAAACAACAAATTTAGAACAGTTCCGTAAAAAAAATGTGGAAAAACGATGTACGAAACCGTGGACCGATGTACATCATTTTCGACACAATCCAAACTACGGACAGACAGACAAGCGATAAGGCCTCCTCCACCTCAAAGGTACAAAGAAGTTCTAAAATGGTATTAAACTTTTAACATGGTACAACTCGGTATAAGAATCAAGATTGAAAAGTAGGTTTAATATATGAAGGTGGTTTTGAAAATACTTGCGCGAACTATACTATATGGTACTAATTTTGCCTGTAACATGGAGAAGGAAGCGAGATAGACTCATAGTTACTTTTGAGGATCTTCAAAGAATCACTTTCTGATTCTATGTATGCATGTAACCCTCTATGGAATACGTTCCGAAAGAATGGCTCAATTTTATGCATTTCGTATAGGACCTAAATAAATATGATATAAATATTGCAACGTGCCAGTTTTGGACTATATTGGTTACTTACTACTTAATTAGTTACAAGAAAGTCGAACATTCGTATACAATTTTATGCGAAATTATAAATTCCATATTCATCGCAGGTTCCTGGTTGAGAGAATTTTTTTTGGATATAGCAAGTTGTAAAAAAACGCTGACTTGTTTTGCAAGTTATGGCAGATAAAAATATTGAAAATTGTGACCCTTTGCTTATTTCGGATGACCGGATGCCTATTTCGGATTTTATAATCCGCTTGTTTATTCAAAACTTTTACAACTTGTGGGAGAGGTACCAGAAGAAATGGTCCGACATCAACCATCTTTATGACAGATCTTGTGTTGATAGAAATATTGTGATGTCCCAAGTCTGAATAGAATCTGATGTAATTTTGGCGTTTTATGCGCTTTATAGATATTCAAAACCTTTACCCCTTGTGGTGGAGGTACCAGAAGGAGTGAACCGATATAGTCCATCTTCACACCAAACTTTGTGTTAATAAAAATGTATGATATGTGTAATTTGGAGACAATTGGACACTTATATCACATTTTATATGAGTTATAAATATTCAAAATGTTGTTTTGGAGTGGGCACTGATATTGTCCATTTTCGCACTTGACATAGCACTAATGAAAATTTTAGGATTCGCAAAGTTGGAGCAAAATTGAACTAACCTTTCTCTTCCTGTGCAGTAAATTTTTTTTTTATTTTTTTTTTTTAATTTCGACATTTTGTGTGGGTGGTACGAGAAGGAGCGGACCTCGATCTCGATCTAAGTTTGATAATAATATTACCATGTACCACGTTTGATATATACCCTCCCTACCCATATGGCTGAAGAACCAATATAATCCAAATCTGGCACTTCGCAATATTTATATCGCATTTATTTAGGTCCGTTATGAAATGTCCTTCGGAACCTACTCCAAAAACAACAATTTAAACAACCATAACAGAAGTCAAAATATATTTAAATAACCGAGCATTGGCTTAGGGTAAACATCTGTCGACAAAACCGACTTGTACTTTTTAACTTGTTTGATTGATTTTTTTTACCCTACACCACAAGGTGGTCAGGGTATTATGTCTTTGTGCATTTGTTTGTAACAGGCAAAAGGAAACGAGATAGACCCATAGTTCCTTTTGATGATCTGCATAGAATCACATTCTGAGTCGATTTATGCATGTCCGTCCGTCTGTCTATGTATTTTTGTAAACAAAGTACAGTTCGCATTTATTGCCCTATCCAGATGAAATTTTGCACAAATCATTTGTTTGGCCCAAGAACGAACCCTATTGAAATTGAAGATAATCGGTCGAAATTTAGATATAGCTCCCATAGACATCTTCGTCCGATTTGCCTATTATTGTGCACCAAACGTGTAATATCAGTCCGAATAGTATGGAACTTTGAACGTACGATCAAATTGGACCTGAAAATATGTGTGCCAAATTTGATCGAAATCGGTTCAGATTTGTTAGGAATATGTTTGTCCTCCGCAGCCGTAATATGCACTCTGTAACAACAATATTTGGGAAAATATATCAAATACAGCTCAGAAATACATTTGCTAAATTTTATCGAGATCGGTTCAGATTTGGATATAACTCCCATACATAAATTCGTCCGATTTACCTTTGATTTTGCACCAAACGTCTAATGTTTGCCCAAATTGGATGAAATTTGGCACTTACGACCAATTTGAGTCTAGAAGCTAGTATGTTAAATTAGGTGAAGATCGGTTCAGATATAGCTATAGCTCCCATATATACTGTTCATCCGATTTGTCATAGCCGTAATATGCACTCCGTAACAACGATATTCAGGGAAATTTGGATATAGCTCCCATATATATTTTTATCCTATTTCAAATTAATTGTGCACCAAATGGGCAATACAATTCCGAATTTAAAAGATACAAATGCTTCGGCATATTTAGTTCTTTGAATTTTAACTTATAATTATAATCATAGCGTGCATAATTGAATTCTCCCATAAAAACTTTTAATTTTTATGCGCAGCTATACTAAATTAGCAAAGTGGTGTAGGGTATCATAAAGTTGGCTCCGCCCGACTTTAAGACTTTCTTTACTGGTTTTTACTTAAAAAAAATAATTTTAATATTTTCCCTTAGATCCCTTAGATCAATTCCTACAGAATCATAAAGAAAAATGTATTTGCAAATTGACAAGAATTGAAGCGAATAATTTTCGCTTCATTGTTCCACCCCTGAATGAGTTCATCAGGTGCTGAAATCATTTCGTTGTCATATCAGATTTCAAAATCACAATTGCCGGGTTAAATTCATGCAAATTGTATGCATTTTATCGAATTATATCACGACATAGCAAACAATGGAGAAAAAAAAAACTCGTCTTTAAGGCGATGCCATTTGTTTGTTTAAATTAAAAAGAGAATGTGTATGTATATCAGTGTATTGGCTGGCGTTCTATTTATTTTGTTGCTTGTTAACATGAAGAAAGAATTTTTTCGATTCACAATTAATCATAAATTTCAAAAAATTTTTTCCACACTTTTTTTGTTGTTGTTTTCGGGTATTTGTGCACTTGGTTTTATTATCTTGGCGATGTACAACGATATTCGTTTAAGTTGACAAAGCCAGAAACTTCACTTCATGCCGCCCTATCATAAATAAGACTTCGCTTAAATGAATGCGGAAAACGTATTGCGGCCTCCAATGACCGTCGTCGTTGTTGTTGTTATCGTTTTTACTACTACTTGGATGTTTGATGTACAAGATATGATCAAGATCATTAAATTTAATATTTTTTTAAATTACACTGACATTTTTGTTTGTTGTTGGTTTGTTCTGCTGGACTCTCGTTCGGGTGGGTGGGTGTGAGTGTGTGTGCATACGCCTTCAATCTAGTGAAAGTATGTGACCCGTATAGCCTGGTATTTTGACTCTGCCTGCCTGACTTATGATTTATTACACTTTATTCCCGAGTAAGTTGGTGGACAGAAAAAATATCAACCGCACGATCGCGCTGCAAAAATACGACTGATAAGCTTTGACGATTTAAATCTAAACCCAACCGGAATAAAGAGCGCGTCAGATGCAAGTGATATTAATATTCTGGCAAATAGAAGATAAGCCAGTTGAGTTTTGTCGAACCCAAAATATTTATCGCATGCGAGAGAAAAACCGAAAACGAGCATTAATAAACAGGTGGCAAACTGTGTGTGAGATAGAGAGAGGAAGAGCAGTAATGAAGCTGAATATCATCAAGTCTGGTGGGTCATCGTTAAAACCCCTCTTCGTTTGGGTGGTAATTAGAACATCTGATAATTAAATAGCAAATAAACAATGTTTTCTTTGGAGAGTCTGAATGTGTTGGAATGGGTGCTCAAATGAACAAGAAATGAGTAATAGAATTGGGTAAAATTGAATTAATAGGGTTGGAAGGCAGGTATATGAATGTTGTGCGGCACCTGTAAGGGAAGTACGAGAAGTAGTAATGTATATTGTCTATCTTTGAGCATTATCTGTGAGCGAAAGCAATTCAACTTATGTTTTAGAGAACAAATCTGACTTGAGTTGTGATCAAATTGTGGCAGAAGAAGTGATTCGATAAATCTTGGCTTGCTTGGCTAGTACAGATGAACCACTGATTTCTTGGCAACCATTGATATTGTCATGTGGCACAAGTAGAACAGAGCGGCACTGCAAAAAGTGCTTTTGTTGTCACAAAGAGAGCGAGAGCGAATCGCTACGTTAATTACTGCAGTGTATATATTTATGCTCCGACGTACAAACTTGATAATATGGTGTAACAACTTATTTGAACGAACCTAAATTTCGTTAGAAAGTTCGAAAGCATCTATGCTTACTTATAAAACAACAATGCAACCTATCGATACCCCTTAAATGGTGGCAACTACAGGAAACTTCTTCATCTGGATAGGTGGTTTCTAGGGAGACAAGGCTTGGGCTGTCTTCTAAGAGAGTAACTAAGGCGTACTACTGTTCAATTCAAAGCTGTGTAAGTCCACAGCGAAGTCTACCAAACAGCAGGTCTCGAAAAAGTCTTTGGGGAAGGCTGCCTCAAAATAGGTAAAGAGAGTCAGTATGAAGAGAAAACGAAAGTTGAAACAGCCGGTAGCGCTTGCAGCAGTTAATGGCCATGAATCTCTTTGGGAAGACAGTAAGTTTGCGCTGTGGCCAAATTGAAGATCCCAAGTGGGATCTTCGCTACAAGGTTCTCATTGCTAGGCAAACCACCCTACTACGAATCCCAATGCAATTCCTTTCTTTTCTTTTTCGCGACAATATTTTTCATCGTATGAGGAACACAACGTGCCAAGAGTCTGCAAGTGCAGCAGCTGCCGACTCATGTGTAGTTGCATGTCCTGAAAACAAACCACACCAATCAGTTTCCGAAAATGTGGACTAAAAGGGACAGTGATAACTATTTTTTGCCTCGAATTAGGAAATGAATGTGGAGGGCATATGGTTCCATCAGGACGGCGCCACATGTCATACATACAGAAACAAATAATTAAATCGCCGCATTAGTCATTCCCTGGTTGTTATACCCTACATCACAAGGTGGTCCGGGTATTATGTCTTTGTGCATTTGTTTGTAACAGGCAAAAGGAAACGAGATAGACCCATAGTTCCTTTTGATGATCTGCATAGAATCACATTCTGAGTCGATTTATGCATGTCCGTCCGCCCGTCCGTCTGTCCATGTATTTTTGAAAACGAAGTACAGTTCGCAATTATTACCCTATCCAGATGAAATTTTGCATAAATCATTTGTTTGGCCCAAGGACGAGCCCTATTGAAATTGGAGATTATCAGTCAAAATTTAGATATAGCTCCCATATATATCTTCGTCCGATTTGCCTTTTATTGTGCACCAAACGTGCCCGAATAGTATGGAATTTTGCACATACAACCAAATTAGGCCCGAAAATAAGTACGCCAAATTTGACCGAAATCGGTTCAGATATAGCTAAAGCTCTCATATATATTGTTCATCCGATTTGTTATTTGTCCTCCGCAGCCGTAATATGCACTCTGTAACAACAATATTTGGGGAAATATATCAAATACAGCCCAGAAATACATTTGCCAAGTTTTATCGAGATCGGTTCAGAATTGGATATAGCTCCCATATATAACTTCGTCCGATTTACCTTTTATTGTGCACCAAACGTCTAATATTTGCCCAAATGGGATGAAATTTGGCACTTACGACCACATTGAGTCCAGAAGGTAGTATGTCAAATTTAGTGAAGATCGGTTAAGATATAGCTATAGCTCCCATATATATTGTTCATCCGATTTCTACACGCAGAAAAATATATGTTACAAATATGTTTGGATCCAAACATATATTTGTTTGGGACTGGTTGCAAACAAATATATTTTTGGATGCAAACATAATTTGTTTCGGTGCAAACAAATATTTGTTTGCAACATTTTGTAACATAACTCAATTTTATTTGTTGGGTACCAACATATTTATATGTTAGAACATATTTTTTTATGGGTGCGGAGAGGATTTTTTTCAAAGAGCTAAACAACAGAGCTCTCGATTACTTTTGAATTGGTGTTATAGGTGACTTAAAAGAAGACAGGAGGGTGAGAAATCTGTTTTTGCGTTGATGAGTGTCTCAACTTGAGACACGCGCCAATGTTACGCTCTTTTGCTCTCACCAAGCAAACACTGCCGATCGCTGCTGAAACTATGTGTGGTGTGTGCGCGGCAAGAGGGATGGAAACTGTTGCTGAGACGTTTATTTCTTTTCTATTGTCCATGCACCAAAAAATGCCAACAACAACACACAAAGAGCTGTTTGGATGTTTTTTTGTTGCTGAGACGTTGCTTCTTACTAATGTTCATGCATACATACATACATGCGTTTTTCGCATACACACCGATTTGCTTGATGAGAACAAAAGAGCGTAACATTTGCGCGTGTCTCATGTTGGCATTCTGGTTGTGTTCTTTTTTTATTCTTTTTATTTGTTTTGTGCCTTCGCGTCGTGTCACAAGTGTTGTAATAAATGTTGATACCAACTGTTTTGGGGGAAGACAAATTATTTGTCGAAGCGCCGGAGCCTTTAAATCTACAAAGCTTTATAAAAGCAGCCAAATTAGAGTTAAAAATTGATGCCTCAAGAAAAATAACAGCCTTAGTGTTTGGTGCAACCATTAAAGAAGACCAGTTTGAAAAAGTAATTCATCAATATATGTCAACACCTACTTTTCATATTGAGTTGCAATTTGGAGGTAAGTACACTGGATTTACAGCCTGTTTCTTTATGTCGGAACAAAAAAAATTTCGTTTCAAAATAAAGAAACAGGCTGTTAATATTTTTTTCTTTTTTTAAATAATATATTTAATTTTCATTTAGACTCCGTTCGATCAGTGGCATCAGCATCGACAGTTAGTGGCACTCTATCGGAGTGTGAATCCGTAGGTGGTTTTGGGGATCTTACCCCAAAAACAAATGTTATTTCAACTTTAAAGACTGACATAGAGTCCATCAAGTCAATTCCGGCTGTCAACAAAATATGGAGAATTTTTATTGCCGAAAAACGCCTGCAAAATAAAGATAGGGTGAATATTTGGAAGGCCCTTATTGACGAATGTCTAAAAGAAGACCCTAACAGATTGTAAGTATTTTACTTTATTGAAAAAATAGTGATTGTAATAAACGGAAAAATAATAAATTAATAAATAAAAATAATAACAAATATTAAGAATAATATTAATAATAATAAATTAAAAAATTAATATAAAATAAAAATTTTATGAAAACTGGCACGATATAAATTATAAACTTATTAACAAATGTTTATTTTATTTTATCAATAACAACAATATATTATTTATAAAAATTAAAACATAATAAATTAATATTAGAAACATAAGAATAATTTTAAGCATAATAAAAATTGTAATAATTAATATAATATTAATATCAGTAATAAAAAATTGTTAAAAATAATAATATTAAAATAAAAATTCTAATTATAAAAATATTAAAGAAAATAAAAAACTATGTTTCATTATAAATTATTTATTTTCTTTAATATTTTTATAATTAGAATTTTTATTTTAATATTATTATTTTTAACAATTTTTTATTACTGATATTAATATTATATTAATTATTACAATTAATTTTATATTATAATATGTATGAATTTCTTTTATGTTAAATAAAATGTGAATATCAAAAATTGATTTTAAAACTAGTTTGCATTATGGTTGAATTATATCTGCAGTAAGTATACAAATGGACCCAATCATAAATTTATGTTTGCACCCCAATATATATTATGTTTGGACCCAAACATAAATTATGTTTGCACCCGAACAAAAAATATGTTTGGACCCAAACATTAATTATGTTTGGACCCAAACATTAATTATGTTTGGACCCAAACATTAATTATGTTTGGACCCAAACATAATTTGTTTGCAGCACCCAAACATATGTTATGTTTGGGAATGTTTGCAAACATATATTTGTTTGCTGCAAAATATGTTTGGGACATATGTTAGAGAGGCTTATATTTTTTTGCGTGTAGTATTTGTTACCCACAGCCGTAATATGCACTCCGTAACAACGATATTTCAGGAAATATATTTGCCAAATTTTTTCGAGATCGGTTCAGATTTGGGTATAGCTCCCATATATATCTTTATCTGATTTTAAATTAATTTTGCACCAAATGGGCAATACAAGTCGGAATTTAAAAGATACCAATGCTTCGGCATATTTGGTCCTTTGAACTTTAAATTATAATTATAATCATAGCGTGTATGATTGAATTCTCCCATAAAAACTTTTATTTGTTACGTGGAGCTCTACTAAATTAGCAAAGTGGTGTAAGGTATCATAAAGTCGGCCCCGCCCGACTTTAGGACTTTCTTTACTGTGTTT